TATGCATTCCATTTCATTTTAGACGACTTCCAATTTTCCTAGATTCATACTTCATACATCCCACGTTCCTATTATTAATGGATGTTTGCAGCTGTTTCTTCTCATTTTGAGTCGTGCCACATTAGCAAATGAAAGTTCCGAAAGCTTGACTCCATCCACGTCATTAAGGTTGACTCTACTTTCAGGAGTCATCTCTTCCTCAGTTGTATTTTGAGTGTCTTCCAACCTGAGGGGCTCATCTTCTGACACTATATCAGCAATGTTCTGCTGCTATTCATAAGGTTTTCACTGGCTAATATTTCAGAAGTAGACTGTCAGGTCCTTCTTCCTAGTCTGTCTTAGTCTGAAAGCTCAGCTGAAACCTGTCTGCCATGGGTGACACTGTTGGTATTTGAAATACCAGTGGCGTAGCTTCCAGCATCACAGCAACACACAAGCCACCATAGTACAACAAATTGACAGATGTGTGGAACATGGTATAAGTGTTTAACAAGCACAGACTATTATCATTAGCCTTGTGACTGGAGCAGCTGTGGAGTAGCACAGCCTGCTTCCTTGGTCATACCAAACTAAGTAACAAGTAGAGCTGATTGAATTCTTAAATATGTCACCAATGATGCTGCTGCTATTGTTGTTGTTGTTGTTGTTAGTTGCGGTTGAGTCAACTCTAAGGACTCACAGAGACAGAACTTAAACATTGCCCAGTCCTGCACCAACTTCACAATTATTTGTATGTTTGAATCCATTGTTGTAGCCACTGTGTCAATTCATCTCATGGAGGGTTTCCCTCATTTTTGCTGACCCTCCACTTTATCAAACATGATGTCCTTTTCTAGTGATTGATCTTTCCTGATGACATGTCCAAAGTAAGCAAGATGCATTCTTGCCATCCTCGTTTTTAAGAAGAAACTGATTTATTCATTCTTCTGGCAGTCCATGGTATATTCAATATTCTTTGCCAACACCACAATTCAAATGTGTCAATTGTGGTGTTGGGGAAGAATGCTAGGATGGTGATAAAAGACTCTGGAAACTCACAAAAACCACTCACAGCAGTGCTTTCTATATTGGAGAAGTCAAGAAGCTGCACTATGCTGTAAAATCAGACATTTTTTCCCTCGTTTTCTGTTTCACTTAAATATGCATTCAGTACTGAGTCAGATGCCTCTTATACACCACTTCCATTCTACCATCCCATCTCTTATTCCAACTACAGCTACAGCAACCAGTTCTGTATCGGCGTTGCCCAGCTTCGTGTGGGTATAATCTGGCAGCACTTGCCCTTGGTCATGATACATATCCTTCATTTCCTGCACTGGGGATTCTCTGATGCTGAGATGTAAGGTGTCTACAAGAACCTGCTCCATGCTCAGACGTGTGCAACCTGGAAGAACTGAACAAGTACTCTTGACTAAAGGGGTTTGGAACCAGTGGAGAGCATTCATGACAAAGGAGAAATAAATTCAATTGGCATACGGATAGAATGCCTTGTCCTGTGGATGCCAGCCAGCTTCTCCTCTCAGCCTCAACAGTTCTAGTGCAACAGAGAGGCCATGGTGGCAGGGATGGAGGGTATGTGTGGGCCCAACAGCATGAGCTGCCTCTCACCAAGTCTGTATGGCTTTGAGCAAGTTCGTTCTCATTGCTGGACCTCAACTTTCTCTCTGGCTAAAGAGGAAGTTGTACTAGATCAGTGAGATTTTTATTTTTTATTTTTTTTATTGTGCTTTAGGTGAAAGTTTACAGAGCAAATTAGTTTCTCATTAAACAATTAATACACAAATTATTTTGTGACATTGGTTGCCAATCTCGTGATGTGTCAACCCTCTCCCTTTTCCACCTGGGTTCCCTGCTTCCATTCGTCCAGTTTTCCTGTCCCTGCCTGCCTTCTCATCTTTGTTTTTGAGCTGGTGTGCCCATTTAGTCTCATATACATGATATGAACTATGAAGCAATTCCTCATATGTGCTATTGTTTACCCTATACAAAACCAAACCTGTTGCTGTCGAGTCGATTCCGATCCATAGCTACCCTATAGACCCATCTAATCTTTGGCTGAAGGATGAACCTCAGGAGTGACTTCAGTACTGAGTTAAAAGGACATCCGGGGGTCATACTCTCGGAGTTTCTCCACTATCTGTCAGACCAGCAAATCTAGTCATTTTTTTGTGAATTTTAATTTTGTTCTACATTTTTCTCCCACACTGTCCACACTGTCCAGGACACTCTATTGTGATTCCTGTCAGAGCAGTCAGTGGTGGTAGCCAGGCACCATCTGGTTGTTCTGGGCTCAATCTGATGGAGCTTGTGGTAGTTGTGGTCCATTAGTCCTTTAGACTAATCTTTCCTTTGTGTCTTTGGTTTTCTTCATCCTCCTTTGCTCCAGTGGGAATGGGACCAGCAGCTGTATCTTAGATGGCCGCTCACAGGCTTTTTTGTTTTTATTGTGTTTTAATTGAAAGTTTACAGTCAAGTCAGTTTCTTATACAAAAATTTATACCCACATTGCTATGTGACCCTAGCTGCTCTCCCTGTAATGTGACAGAACACTCCTCCTTTCCACGCCAGATTTCTCGTGTCCTTTCAACCAGCTCCTGTCCCTTTTTGCCTTCTCATCTCGCCTCTGGATAGGAGCTGCCCATTTAGTCTCATTTATCTACTTGAGCTAAGAAGTGCACTCTTCACGAGTATCATTTTATGTCCCATAGTCCAGTCTAATCTTTGTCTGAAGAGTTGGCTTCGGGAATGGTTTCAGTTCTGGTCTAACAGACAGTCCAGGGGCCATGTCTTCCAGGGTCCCTCCAGGCTCAGTCAGACCATTAATTCTGGTCTTTTTACTAGAATTTGAGTTCTGCACCCCACTTTTCTCCCGCTCCATCAGGGACTCTTTGTTGTGTTCCCTCTCAGGGCAGTCACTGGTGGTAGCCAGGCACCATCTAGTTCTTCTGGTCTCAGGCTGATGGATTCTCTGGTTTATGTGGCCCTTTCTGTCTCTTAGGCTAATATTTTCCTTGTGTCTTTGGCATTCTTCATTCTCCTGTTCTCAGGCTTTTAAGACCCCAGACACTACTCACCACATTCAAATGTAGAACATTTTCTTTATAAACTATGTTATGCCAATTGAGCTAGATGTTCCCTGAGACCAAGGTCCACAGCCCTGAGCCCAGTAACTCGGTCCCTCAGGGAGTTTGGATGTGTCTGTGTAGCTTTTATGATTTTCAGTGAGATTTTTTATTTTTTTCTTTCAAATTGCAAGTCAGGGCCCATTGGTTGTGAAATCAATTTGGTGGGTCACAAATAGTACTTTCATCGCAATGAAATGACAAGGATAGGATAAAAAAAATTGGAGCAAATGACATGTAGTAAGGTTAAGCATTCTATGATCCGTAGCTAGGGTGACCAAACATCTGGGTCTGCCAGAACAGGCCTGGCATCATTTCATTCTCAAAAGTGTCCAGATTTTGATAGTAAATTATATAGTCATCCTACCTATAACCTGAGCCACAATAAAAGAGCATGTCCCAAAGGGGTACATACCAGCTGTGTGCTCTGGAATCTCAGACAGGAATTCTTAGAGAGAAAGTAAGTCATTGGAGGACAAATTAACTGACCTACACTTAAAAGAAAACAACCCATTGCTGCTGAGTTGAACTCATGGAGACCTCACGTTTTAAAGTAGAACTGTGCTCCATAGGGTTTTCAATGATTATAATCATAATGAGGAAGACTCATTAACAACGTGCATTATGCAGATGACACAGCCTTGCTTGCTGAAAGTGAAGAGGATTGAAGCACTTACTGATGAAGATCAAAGACTATAGCTTTCAGTACGGATTACACCTCAACATAAAGAAAACAAAAATCATCACAACTTGACCAATAAGCAACATCATGATAAACGGAGAAAAGACTGAAGTTGTCAAGGATTTCATTTTACTTGGATCCACAATCAACACCCATGGAAGCAGCAGCCAAGAAATCAAAAGATGCATTTTATTGGACAAATCGGCTGCAAAAGACCTCTTTAAAGTGTTAAAAAGCAAAGATGTCACTTTAAGGACTAAGGTGAACCTGACCCAAGCCATGGTGTTTTCAATCACCTTATATGCATGTGAAAGCTGGACAATGAATAAGAAAGACCAAAGAAAATTGACGCCTTTGAATTGTGGTGTTGGCAAAGATCCCCAGGTCTTTCTTCTGCTGAGCCACTGGGTGGGTTCCAACTGCCAACCTTTCAGTTAGCAGCTGAGTGCTTAACTGTTGTGCCACCAGGGCTCCATATTAGGCACTAGTATTTGGGTCCTGAAAATATATATATATATTGTCTCCAAAACAGAAAAATCTGTAAAATCTAAATTAATAAATACATTGTCAATTGTTAAATTTGATCATCATTAAAATGCCTTTACACTGGAAAATACACTGTGCATATAAGGAGAACCACATTCTGAAGGTTCTTCTACACTCCGTCAAGAATTTAGGCATTTAGCCCCCAGCCCATGAGAAGCCACTGGCAGATTCTGTGTGAGGAATCACATGGCCATGTTAGAGCATTCCCTCTGGGAGTCACCTTTGATTATAGGTTATTTGGACACTTGAAGGTCCAGGATGAGGTAGGTATGACTTGGGATCATCAGTGCCTGGGAAAGTCTCTCACCTCCTAATCTTGAGCCACTCCAGCTCTCCATTCTGGTGGCCAGCAGGACTGGCTCCTACCTTTAAATTCCCTCTGGTTGGGACTTCAGGATTGGAACTGGAAATGGATACAAGAAAGTGTCTAGCAAGTCCCACTTCTGAGCCAGGGAGTCTGTGATGATCTCCTCCACTACCGCAACCATGCTTTGCTCATGGTTTTTTCCTGCAGAACAACTCTTAACATGTTTATTCTCTTTGTACCCATTGGGACAGTTGGAAAAGCCCCAAGTCATCTTTGCCCTCTACTTCCTGTTGAATTCACAGCCTCTTCCCTTTTTTAGAAATAGCATGTTGACTGTTGTATAGCCAAAGAACGGCATGCTGACCATTCCAGTACTTTCTGCCCTGTGATTTCCTGACCCGTGTCTTCTTATAAATACAGGGGCAGAGCTGGTGTCAGAGCTGGTGTCAGAAGGCAGCAAGCCCAGGAAGCCTCGGGCCATCTCTGCTTGCCCCCAGGAAGATGAAGGTCTCCGTGGCTGCCCTCTCCTTCTTCATCCTGGCTGTTTCCCTTGGATCCCAGGGCCGGGTCATCCAGGGTGAGTCCAGAGAGCTTTCTCAGTGGTGATCAGGTCCATGGTAATGTGCAGGGCTGAGGAGGTGATACGGAGGGACACTTGTGCCTCCTGAGACAGCTCCCCATCCCAGACAAGGTTATGGCACTAGTATAAAAGCAGTTGCAGGGTACAGACCTGTCTCCCTCTGCAGCTTTCAGTCCCTGGGGAAAACTGTATAGGGATGACTGGTCCCATTGGGGGAACAACTATTTGTCTTTCCAGGCCAGAATTATTTGATGCGTTCTCCCAGCTAATACAGGATCATGAAATCCTAGATCAATAGAACTACAGTAAAATTTAAATCTGTAGAAATAGTCATAGAATTCTATAATGTTAGAGTTGTTATTTACCATCTAGTATACCAAAACCAATTGAGTCTGTGTCATCTCAGGTTCTGCCACCAAGTGAGTTAAATGAACAACTTTTCTGTTTTCAGAACTCTTTGGATTCCAGAAATATGGATAAAGGATTGTGGATTATATCACGTGATGTAGGCATTTGATTATTTATGCTGAATTTGTAGTTTGTTTCCAAGTCAACAGAATGTTTTCTTGTCACAAATATTTTCAAAGTCCCCTGAAAAATCCCGTGGCCCTAATGGAAATAATGGTCCTGGAGGCAGGCCTGAACCCCAAACAGGTGGCATGTGGGACAGCATCAGTGCTGGAGTAGGTGGGTGGAGATGCTGAGACAATGCTTCCTCCCAGTGATTCCTCTCCCTGTGCTGTTTCTCTCAAATACAGAATTAAGAGAATCCCTGCTGATGGACCTTCAACATGAATCCAATGTTCTACACAGTAAGTGTTCAGTTATGGCACATATTTAAAAGGAGCAGACAGGTACAAATCTGCTCTATGGCTTTGGTTCATTTATGGGGGATGGGGGAAAGGGAGGGGGAAGGGCCTGGTGGGGGAGAGACATCTCCAAGAAGATCAGGATGGGCACCTCCTCCACAGATGACTCCCCTACTGCCAACTGCTGCCCCTGGCCTCTGCTGACTTGGGGTCAGGGGTGCTCTCTGATGCCTCCTGCAAGCATCAGGCCCTTCCTCTTCTAGAAGGAACAGTCCTGGACCTATTGTAGCCCCTGGGTTCCCTTAAACACACAGCTCAATCCTGGGGAAGGTCTGAAGCAAGGAGATGCCAGTAACTGCTGGCAGAGGAGGAAAACATCCCTTCCAAGTCCTGCACCTTCTCACCCTCCCCAGTACCCTTGAGAAAAGACGGAAAAAGATCTAGTTTTCCCCCAAAAAAAAGACTCGATCCTTATATGGGTCTTTCCCTTCTGCAGGCTTACACCATGCCCCTGACTGCTGCGTGTCCTACACCCCCCGAAACATCCGATGTGTATTCATGGAAGATTATTTTGAAACGAGCAGCGGGTGCTCCAAGCCAGGTGTCATGTAAGTGCCAAGTCCACCTGCCCCGTGTGGGGAAAGGAGTCTGCAAAGCCTGCAGGGAAGAGCCTGATGGATGATGATCCAGAAAGTCCTGCCCTCTCGACCTCCCAGGGAAGGGGTAGCTTGTGTCCTTATTAGCATCCTGCAGGGTAGCAGGTAGGAGATGCTCCCAGTGCAGAGGGAGGGTAGGGAAAGAAGGAGAAAGTAGGAAGGCTGCCAAGGAAACTCCCATGAGTCACAAAGGGAGGCTGAGAGAGGTCTCAGAGAGGACAGTGGCCCTGAGTTGACTTCATCAGAGAAAAAAAAGAACAGCCTGGATTGAATGGGGAATCTGAAGGCAGGAAAATGGGGCTCCCCAACCCATTTGCTGAACACCCCTCAGTCTGTACTCTCTCCCTCTTGCTTCCCAGCTTCATCACCAAGAGGGGGCAACGTGTGTGTGCCAACCCCAGCAGTAATCATGTTCAGAATTGCATGGAACAGCTGAAGGGAGACCACTGGGTAAAGAAGCTGGAACAATGAAACTTGTGAAAAGGGAGCCAAAGCGCCACCCCACTTCCAACGCTCTTGTCCCAAGTACCTCCTGGAACTTTCTCGGCCTGAATTAATTTAAAAAAAAAAAAATTTATTGCTTTGTTACAATTATAAAGGTAATACATCTAATAAAGAATATTCGATTTAACTCTACTTGAATTTTAAGAGGAAAAAGAAATGGAAATAAAACTGCCCAATTCTCTCTCTTGCCTACTGTCCACTCGGGAAGACTTCCACAGCAGATATCGTTCTTTCTTTATTTATGTAGAAGACCATGCTTGTAGCGTTATCCGGGGGCAAAGCTCACATGTGACTACCCTGAAATGGGGACTGGCAAGGTTGTAGCTTTTTCACTCAAGCCGAGCTTCTTCTCCAGCACACAAACACACTGACTCTGATCTTTGGGTTAGCTAGGGTTCTGCTGAGAAAATCCTCCTTCTCCGTGATCTTCTCCTTCACCTGTAGGAGGATACAAGTTTTCTCAGCCTTCTTGTATTTTGCCATCAAGCTAACCCGTATCCTTCATACAGAGCAGAAATTCCTCACTTAATGGTCTGCCGATGTCATCTTTTCTGACTTCCTGTTGCTACTATGAATTCATTTTTATTTTTATATTTTACATTTATGTTTACATTTCACAATTTCCTCTGTCATTTCTGTGGGGTTTGGGGAGGCAAAAGAGGAAAACACAGATGCTCAGCGTTCTGGCCGATATATACATATAGTCAACAACTTTTTATTGAAAACAGTAAACGTCTATCTAATGGGACCAAAATAAAGTCACATTCACAGGTACTAGGGGTCAGGACACGAACATCTCTTTTTTTTCTTTTATCAACAAACATTTATTCAGAACTTTACAATTTATAAAGTTCATATTTATCCTTTGTTAGAAACCTGATAAGAACCTTGTGAGGTGGGTAAAACCTGAGAACCCTGGAGCTTGTAGAGACTGGAGCTCGTATTGGGGGAGGGGAGGAGCAAACAGAAGCCTTGATTATCATAGCTACAGCTTCCACCAAATTCTTGAAACGTCTCAAACAAACTGAGTAATGTACATATCTAAATCAGCTTGTATTAAATGATTAAAATAGGATGAAACTTCCATTCAAGTAGTCAGAAAGTTGCAGAGATTTTACAAGTGAGATCAAATAGCCAGAGGCTGGTGTCTAGCCTATATTTTGATCTAGTTATGATTTTCCCTGTTTTTCTCATTCCTTCACTGAGTTCTGTTGAATTCAGGAGCTCCAAGCCCACACTGGAGCCCTGGTGGCACAGTGGTTAAGAGCTATTCAAGACCTTGGGCAGTGACAATGGAAGCTCAACAGGAATGAGGGATGGAAACTGAGACTTTTCTTTCTGGTCAAGCATCGGGTCACTGGTAGAGGGTCTTTGAGGTCTTGGAGGGCTCAGAGGCATGTTATGTCTTGGTTAATTGCATAATACTCACATACCCTAATATCCTATGCTGGATTCTCTAGAGGAGCAAAACTAGTGAAACGTAAATATATAGAGAGAGATTTATATTAAGGAAATGGCTCACACAGTTGTAGAGACTGGAAATTCCCGACTTCGTGAGTCAGGCTAGAGGCTTCCCCAGATTCACATAACCACAGGGGCTGATGAACCCAAGATCAACAAGTCAGACAGCAGGGCTCTGGCTCACACTCTGGGAAGACTGACAAATTCCAAGATCTGCAGGCAAGACATCAGGTAAGCTGCTAGCTCAAGTCCCAAGAACCTGAGATCAGATGGACAGGAGCCAGCTGTGGGATCCAGAGCAAGCAAAAGCCCATGAGCCTTGCCAGAAAGTTCATGTATATTGGATGCAGGCCACATCCCCAAGGAAACTCCCTTTCATTTGATTGGCTACTCACAGTAGATCCTGTCATGGAGGTGATCACATTATATCAAATCTCATCATGGAGGAGATCACATCGTTATACAACTGCCAAACTACATCATAACTGCCAAACCACTGAGAATCATGGCCCAGCCAAGTTGACACATAACCTTAATGATCACTGTCCACCCCTTGTCAACTTGGCACCTGTACACATCTCCTTAACCATACATAATCTCTGAATAAAGACAACTATAAAGTCATACTTGCCCCTAACATGACACAACTAACACATGTATAACCAAAAATGTACTAGCCCTGTTTACATCTTATATTTTATGAGTGAAGAAAACAAAAATATTTGATGCACACATACAGGGAAGAAATACTCATAACAATTACAGTCCTTGTTGCTGCAACTAGTCACATGGTAGTAACTGGTATTTAGAACTACCTTCTTCCACCACCCATTCCATACTCCCTTTGCCCTCCGCAAGCACCTCAGATGGTCATGGTTCTTTGCCTAGTATGGTGACCCATACCTTCATTCCTGAAGTGTCTAGGTCATTAGTAGTCGTGTTGGAATTGGGTTGCTGTAGTTTTTCATTGACTTTAATCACAGGGCATGGTAGTATTAAGAGATGCCGTAAGGAATCTCCTGAATTCCAGACAAACTCTTCTTTACCTCCATTATGTAATATCAATCCAATTTCCTCTTGGCAATCAGGATCAATCACACCAGCCAATATGGTATCCAGAGGCGTAAAGAGCTCAAAGTGGCCAGGTGGCATTCTTAACTTCTGATTCAATGAAATCAGTGATGTGTCTCCAGGTTGGAGCATTCCTCCCTTTGGAACTAAGACCTCTAGACCCACAGAACATAGGGTCGCAGGGACAGGAAGCAAATATATTGCAAGTGAGTCAATAGGGGTAATAGGGAGTGGTATTACTCCCATTTCCACGCCTTGATTCCTGGACCCATGAATCCTGGCTGTGGGAGAAACAGCACCATATATTGGATGCTGTTTTAGAGCATATAGAGCCCCCTGGGGAACATTACCCCAACTCTGCAAGGTATTGCCACCTAGTTGGCGCCATAATTGTGTCTTTAGAAGGCCATTCAATCGTTCTATCAATCCAGCTGCTTCAGGATGATGGGGAACATGATAAGACCAGCGAATTCCATGAGCATGGGCTCATTGCCACACTTCGTTTGCTGCAAAGTGAGTCCCTTGATCCAAGGCAGTGCTGTGTGGGATACCATGACAGTGGATAAGGCATTCTGTAAGTCCACAGATGGTAGTTTTGGCAGAAGCATTGCATGCAAAGAAGGCAAATCTGTATCCAGAGTAATTGTCTATTCCAGTAAGAACAAAACACTGCCCTTTCCATGATTGATGCGGTCCAATGTAGTCAACCTGCCATTAGGTTGCTGGCTGATCACCTCGAGGAATGGTGCCATATCAGGGACTCATTTATGGTGTCTGCTGCTGGCAGATTGGGCACTCAGCAGTGGCTGTAGCCAAGTTAGCCTTGGTGAGTGGAAGTCCATGTTGCTGAGCCCATGCATTACCTCCATTCCTGCCACCATGGCCACTTCGTTCATGAGCCCCTTGGGCAATGACAGGGGTAGCTGGGGGAAGAGAATGACTCGTTTCCACAGAACGCATCATCCTATCCACTTGATTGTTAAAATCTTCCTCTGCCAAGGTTACCTTTGGTGAGCATTCACATGAGACACAAATATCTTCACTTCTTTGGCCCATTTAGAGAGGTCTATCCACGTACCTCTTCCCCATACTTCTTTGTCTCTAATTTTCCAATCATGTTCCTTCCAAGTCCCTGACCGTCAAACCAAACCATTGGCCACAGCCCATGAATCAGCATACAGTCGCACATCTGGCCATTTCTCCTTCCAAGCAAAGTGAACAACCAGGTGCAGTGCTCGAAGTTCTGCCCATTGGGAGGATTTCCCTTCATCACTATCCTTCAGGGAGGTCCCAAAAAGGGGCTGTGGTTTTGCCGCTGTCCACTTTTGAGTGGTGCCTGCATATCATGCAGAACCATCTGTAAACCAAGCACGAGTTTTCTCTTCCTTAGTCAGCTGGTCATAAGAACTCCCCATGAGGCCATAGGTGCAGACTGGGATATGGAAGGTAATGTGATAGGAGTGGAGACCATAGGCATTTGGGTCACTTCCGCATGCAACTTACTTATGCCTTCAGGTCCTGCTTGGGCCCCATCTCATATATAGCATTTCCATTTAATGATGGATTGCTGCTGTGCACATCCAACTTTATGACTCTGTGGGTCAGACAACACCCAGTTCATGATGGGTAGCTCAGGCCACATGGTGACTTGGTGGGCCATGGTTAAGCATTCAGTCTCTACTAAGGCCCAGTAACAATCCAAAAGCTGTTTCTCAAAAGGAGAGTAGTTACCTAAAGAAGATGGCAGGGCTTTGCTCCAAATCCTAAGGGTCTGCACTATGATTCACCAATAGGGTCCTCCCAAAGACTCCAAACAGCATCTCTATCTGCCACTGACACTTCCAGCACCATTGGATCAGCAAGATCATATGGCCCAAGGGGCAGAGAGGCTTGCATGGCAGGCTGAACCTGTTGCAGAGACTTCTCTTGTTCTAGGTGCCACCAAAACTAGCAGCTTTTTGAGTCACTTGATAAATAGGCCAAGTAGCACACCCAAATGAGGAACATGTTGCCTCCAAAATCCAAAGAGGCCCACTAGGGATTGTTCCTCCTTCTTAGTTGTGAAAGGAGTCTGATGCAATAACTTATCCTTCATTCTAGAGGGAATATCTTGATATGTCCACACCTCTGAACCCCTAGAAATTTCACTGAGGTGGAAGGTGCTTGAATTTTTGTCAGATTAATTTCCCACCCGTTAGTACACAAATGTTTTACCAGTAAGTCCAGAGTCATTGACATTTCGCCCTTACTAGGTCCAATCAGCATAATGCCATCCATGTAACAGACCAGTGTGACATCTTTTGGAAGGGAAAAGCAATCAAGGTCCCTGCGGACTAAATTATCACATACGGCTGGAGAGTTGATATAGCTCTGAGGTAGGACAATGAAGGTGTATTGTTCTTTTTTTTTTTAACTGTACTTTAGATGAAGGTTTACAGAACAAACAGTTTCTTATTAAACAGTTAGTACATATATTGTTTTATGACAATGGTTAACAACCCCACGACATGTCAACCCTCTCCCTTCTCAACCTTGGGTTCCCTATTACCATCTTTCCTATCCCCTCCTGCCTTCTAGTCCTTGCCCCTGGGCTGGTGTGCCCCATTAGTCTTGTTTTGTTTTATGGGGCTGTCTAACCTTTGGCTGAAG